TAAAAAAAATCAACAAAATTTGCAAACCTTTATCTAGACTGACCAAGAGAAAAAGAGAGAAGACCAAAGTTCCTAAAATCAGAGTTGATAAAGCAGGGGCGTTCTTACATTCTCATTATGGTTTTCGTGGTGGTAAGATTTAGTTTCTCTTTCTCATTCACGTTTTTGTTCTACCAGTGGGTTTTGTTCTACCAGTGGGTTTTGTTCTTCCTTGTGTATTTGTGGTGGTGATTATCGTTTTTTGGATTCTAGGTGCAGGATTTCCTTGCGGGTTTCTTGTAGGGCTGGCCGTGTGGTGGTGAACTCCCACAGCTTTTGTTTGTCTGGAAAATGCACTATTTCTCTCTCATTTCTGAGGGATTTTTGTCTGTCTGGAAAACATGCTATTTTTCTTTGTTTCTGAAGGGCAGCCTTGCTGGGTATAGTATTCTTGGCTGGCAGTTTTTTTCATTTAGTGTTTTGAATATATCCTCCCATATTCTTCTGGCCTGTAGAGCTTCTGTTGAGAAGTCTGCTGTGAGTCGGATAGGGGCTCCCTTATAGGTGACTTGATGCTTTTCTCTTGCTTCTTTTAAGATTGTCTCTCTGTCTTTGAGCTTTTCCAGTCTGACTATAATGTGTGTTGGAGAGGATCTTTTTGGGTTGAATCTGTTTGGGAGTCTTTGAGCCTCCTGGATCTGAAGGTCTGTGTCTCTCCCTATACCTGGGAAGTTTTCTGCTATTACTTGGTGCAGTAAGTTTTCCACGGCTTTCCTTCTCTCCTTCCCTTCTGGAATACCCATGATTTGAATGTTTGTGCACTTAAGGTTGTCCGCTAGGGAGCATCTCAGGTTTCATGAGTGCAGCGCCGAGTTTCTGACTGTCCCTCTGCTGGCCTACCTCTGGACCTCCCCCCTCTTGTATGGCACCTCCGTTCTCACACTCCACCTCCGATCCATCTGGAAGTCCTGCTGTTGTTGCCCTCAGAATCGTATCCTGACTGTGCTGCCGTTGACCCCGCCTCCGCCCTGGTCCTCACCAGCACCCTGGACTGTTGCCCCCCGACCTCCAGACTGACGCCCCGTTTCTGCCCTTGCTGTCCCTGGGCCTTTTCTCTGAACACA